TGGACTATTCAAATTTTTAATTTCTTCATGATAAGGCCTGGGCAAGTTGCATATGTCTAGGAATTTTTCCATTCCTTCTACGGTAATGAATTTGTTGGCATATAAGTGTTCAGTCTCTTATGATCCTTTTATTTCTTGTATTTCTCTGGTATCAGCTGCAATGGGTCCTCTTTCATTTCTGATTTAACTTGAGTCAACTCTTTTTTAGTCTAAAAAGTTGTTGCTTTTGTCAAAAAACCCCCACAACTCCCTTTTTTTTTTTTTTAAATCTTTTCTATTGCTTTTCTAATCTCTATTTCTGTTCTCATCTTTATTATTACCTTCTATTTACTAACGTTAGGCTTAGTTTGATCTTCTTTATTTACTTCAGGTGTAACACTAGGTTGTCTACTGGAGCCCTTTCTTTTTTCTTCCATATAGGCATTGATTGGTATAAACATCCCTCTTAGCATTGTTTTTGCTGCATCTCATAGTTTGATATGCTGTCTTTCCATTTTTGTTTGTGTGTGTGAGAAGAATGTGTATTCTGTCATTGCTGGATAGAATATTCTGTGTGTGTCTGTTAGGTCCATTTGAATTTTAGTGCAGTTTAAATATTCTGTTTCTATAGTGATTTTCATTCTGGATGATCTGTCCATTCGGAAAGTGGGCACAAAGACTCCTACTATTACTGTACTACATTCTATCTCCCCATTCAGGTCTATTATGTTTACTTTACGTATTTAGGTGCTCTGATGTTGGGTGCAGATATAATTACAATGGTTATACCCTCTTGATAAATTGACTTCCTCATCATTATAAGGACCTTGTCTTATTTTATGGTATTTGTTTTCCTTTATGCCTGTTTTACCTGATGTAAGTATAGTAATCTCTGCTCTCTTGGTTTTTGTTTGCATGGAATCTTTTTCTTCATCCTTTTATTGTCAAATGATGTGTCCTTAAAAGTGAAGTGAGAATCCTGTAGGCAACATATAGTTGGGTCTAGTTTTATAATCTTGAATTCCGCTGTTCTGTGTGTTTTGATTGGAGAATTTAATCCATTTACATTGCAGGTAATTACTGGTAGGTATGGACTTAGTACTTGCCATTTTTTAAATTGTTTTCTGGTTGTTTTGTAGACACATTGCTCCTTTCTTCATCCTTGCTGTCTTGCTTTCAAATAATTTTGTCCAGTGGTATGATTTGCTTCCTTCCTTTTTATCTCTTTAGTATCTACCATAGGTTGCTTTGTGGTTACCATGAAGTTTACACATAGAATGTCTTAGTATAACAGGCTATTTTAAGATAATAACAACATAACTGTGATTGCATTAAAACCTACATACTTCCCCCTCTACACACACATTTTACATTTTTGATGTCACATATATATCTTATACTGTGTATCTGCTAACAAATTATCACAGCTATTAATATTTTGAATCACTTTTACATTTTACATCATACTAAAGATATGAGTGATTTCCACACCAATACAGAATCAGAATATTCTAAATCTGTGTATTTACTTATACACAGTGAATTTTAAACTGATAAGCATCCTTTTCTTTCAGGTTTAAGAAATCTCTTTGGTATTTCTTACAAAAATAGGATGGGGGAGGAGGCAAGATATTTAAGGAAAAAAAAAAAAAAAAGACAGGCCTAGGGGGTGATAAACTTAACTCTCTCTGCTTTCTTTTCTGATAAAATCTTTATTTACCCCTCATTTCAGAAGGACAGTTTTGCCAAGTAAAATATTCTTAATTGACAGTTTATTTTTCCTCAGCATGTTGAGGGTATCATCACACCCTCTCCTGGCCTACGTTTCTGCTGAGCAGGCAGCGGCTGCCTTTATTGGAATCCCCTTATCTATGATTTGCTTCTTTTCTCCTGCTCGTTTCAGGGTCCTCTCTGGCTTTAGTTTTTGATAGTTTGATGTTTTGGTGTTCTTGTTCAGATTGAATCTGGAGATCTTTGTCCTTACTATACTCTACATCTTCCTCATTGTTATTTCTTTAAACAGGCTTTCTGTTCCTTTGTCTCTCTTTTTGAACTCTTATAACTCAATATTTATCTACTTGATGCTGTGGCGTTTTCTGCCACAAGCAGAAAGCTTCATTCTACTGTCTGTATATTTTCAAATAACCTGTCTTTTCAGTCCAGATTTTTTTGTCTGCTTGCTAAAGTCTGCTTTCAATGCTCTTTTGCATTTTTCATTCCATTTACTACATTTTCAGCTTCAGAATTTGATTTTTAAAAAATAATTTCAATCTCGGTATTAATTTCTCATTTTGATTGTCGTTTTCCTGATTTTGTTGAATTGTTTCTCTGCATTTTCTTGAAATTCACTGAGCTTTCTTAAACAATTACTTTGCATTCTCTGTCATATATCTCCATTTCTTTAGGGTTGGTTACAGGTGCCTTATTTGGTTCCTTTGACTGGTGTCACGTTTCTCTGACTGTTCTTGATCGTTGTAGTCATGTGTTGGCACCTGCACATTTTAAGTAAGTTGAGACTTGTTCAGTCTTTGCAGAGTGCCTTTATCCGGGAAAGCCATTCACCAGTCAGCGTGTCCAGAGATTATGTAGCCTGAGTCCACAGGGGCCGACATGGAGTCTGGGTCTTCAGGGTAGGTCCTGGAGCCTTGGTACACTGGTACTAGCCTGGCATCTGGGTCTACTAGGGTGAGCCTGAATCTTAGGTCTGAAAGGACCCAGTATGAAGGCTGGGTAGGTGGGTGGTGGTCTAGAACTTGGAACACAAGGGGCTGGTCCACTACTCGGTCTACAGAGACTGGCCTGGACCCTTGTTCTGCAGGGACGTGAGGCCACAGGGTCCGATCCAGAGGGCAAGGCTGCAGGGACTAACCTAGCACTAGGCAGGCTTGGAGCCTAGGGCTGTGGAATCTAGCCTGGTGCTGGGGTGGGCCTGTAGGCTCAGTTTCTGGGTATTGGTCTGGAGTCTGGAGCCATGGGGGCCTTGCCTAGCACTGAGTTTTATAGGGGCAAGCTCAATGTTACGGTGTAAGTCTGGTATACACTTCCACTCCTTCCCCCAGGTGGGCAGTATTTCTCTGCAAGCTGGGCGGTCAGGGATTGAGGGAGGTGTGATGCAAGTAATGTAAAACAGTCCTTCCTAACCTCTTCAATATGGCTTTTCTTATTTCTGTGCCACATTCAGGTAATCTCTCATCTGGTTTTCTTAGCTCTTATATTTTTGTGTGTGGAAAACTGTTCAAATTGATGGTTCTAAAAGGTGCTAGTCTGCCATCTTGGTGTTATCTAGACCTCAGGCTTTTCTTTAAACAACTCAACACTTTGGTCTGGCAGCCCAATCTTTCCAACCATGGCCTTCATCAACAGCATATAAATTCAAGTACTCCAATGTTAACATCCTATGTACATGCCACTGGTGATTCTGTTCCATCAGCTCTGCTAATATCCAATCCCAAAATACCATGCATAATCTTCGGGCTGTTGGAGAAGTCTTTAAATTTCAAATGTGGTAAGGTCTTTAATCTTAACTAGCCACTCAGTGGTATGAGATTCTCCTAGTCTGATATGGTTTCTGATTTCAGGTAGCCAGCCAGACAAGACTCTCAATAACCTTTCATCCACTTCACACAAAGTAGAATAATGGTTGCCAGAGGCTATGAAGATAAGGAAATGAGGAATTATTGTTTAATGGGTATAGAGTTTCAGTTCTGCAAAACAGAGAGCTCGAATGGTGACTGTGCAACAGAATTAATGTACGTAATACCACTGAACCAAATACTTAAAAATGGTGAAATGGAAAATTTTACACTATGTGTATTTTCCTACAATTTTAAAAACTGAAAAGTCACATGGTTGGTCACATAAATTTGAGAAATACATTTTATAATCGTTTCTTGCAGATTCACAATATACACTAGCATTTAAATAGGGTTCCACTATTTTCAGTAAGAAAATCTTGACTTTGCCATCCTCACCCACAATTATAATTAACATCACATATCCATCTTTATACCTCCTTGCTCTAATTTCACTGGATGGGCATCTTTCCTCTTATGCAAGGCAAATCACTGTATAAGTATTTTTTTATATTACCTGCATGAGAGATACACCTTTATTTTTCATTCCAACCCCTACTACCTTGAAAACTTTGATAATTACCACCTCTGTTATCTTTAGTCTTTACGACCACCAACATATTTCTCTTCAATCCTTTCTCCCTTGCAAGGTTATTAAAAATATATGTCTGACAAAATTACTACCTACCTACCGAGCAGATTCTTCACTGACTCCGAAATACCTTTCTATCATGTGCTATCTCCTTCATTTTCCTACCTCTCAGCCAGTTTATGATCTAAAAGTCTTCAACTGCCTATTGGCCCCTACTCCCTATGCTGCTTCTGAACTTTGGCTCATACTTCTGCCTAGAATAACCTGGTCATGCTTCTAGCTGCCTAATTCTCAGTCACATTTCAAGACTGAATTCAGCATTCCGTTGCCATGGTTACTTCCCTGCCATCTATACTAGATTCCTATTGCATACCTGGGTACTCCAGTACTCCTTTATGTTACTACTGTATTCTGGATACCATTCTACCTCAGTGACTAAAATTATTTGTTTCTGCATCTTTTACTCAGAGTATAATATAAATTTCTACAGTGTGAAAACTAATAATTGTGCATCTCTGTATCCATAACATAGTACCTGATGCCTTAAACATGGCAGGCACTGAGATTGTTAAACTCAACTCTTCCTTCAATCTCTCTATTTTCCTACAACTACTACCAGGGAAGCAAAAAGACATAAGAATTCAGGTGTGTGCAATTATCTATCTAGTGGTAGAAATCTAGTGAAATGTTACCAAGGTTTAGCAGTATCTGGTAGGAGAAAAAGCAAATATGTTCCTATCTCCCAATTTACTGCTAAATCATTCCTTTCTTTTAGCCAGAAATAATTTCCAAATAATGTAACATCATTTAAAGCAGTCCAGGGCAACTTAAAAGACACCAGAGTCTCAACCACTTACATTCGGCTAGCTTCAATGTCGTCAGACTGAGGTTCTCCTGGTGATCTGTAAAATGCAATTGACAAACAGTTAGCAAAATATTCCATATTCCAAAAAAAAGTAGACATATTACTTAGGAAGATAAATTTGTAAGCAAGATTTCAGCACTAAATTAAACAGTTTTAAAAATAAAGATGTCAACATGAAAAAAAGTGGTAAGATCAGGTTGCCATACAACACATTTATTTATTTTAAGGGTTGGACAATTAAAAAAATGAATTTTTTTAAGGAAAACTATAAAAACTATACATAGATACCAACCCACTAGCCATTATAAGCCATAATTATTCACAAAGTCAAGTATGTGTAATAAAACACACAACTATAAAACGTCCTATAGCCAAGTACTGGTTAGCCACATTAACAAATGCACTCACTGGTATTCACTCATAGTATTAAATTTTAGATTAGTGGCTCAGTAAACTACTCCCTAGGCAGACAGGCTGAAGCTTAGGCCAGCCATGCAGTTTTGTAAATGACGTTTTATTGGGATGCAGCCATACTCATTCATTTAGGTATTGTCTATGGCTGCTTTCACACTAAAAGAACAGCTGAGGATTCATAGCAGAAACCACATGGCCCATAAAACCTAAAATATTTATTTTCTGGCCCTTTAAGAACAAATATGCCAACCGCTACTCTAGAAAATTCAAACTATATCTAATACCTTGGAAAGTTTAAAGACACTTAAATCAGATACAACATTCCAATGATGATCTTGGTCTAACAGTGAAATTAAGTTTCCCTAAAAACACAATTGACCATTGACCGTATGTATTACCTGTCAAAAGTTTATCACCTGAGGTAAACTTTTGCACTGGATAGCCATGAATTAACTTTATTTTTAAATAGTTGCCAGTTACTTTATTTCTAAATATACTACTGCTCTCTTATGTAGAAATATTTAAAATTCTAAGTCACTAAGAGGCCTTTCATTTTCATTTTGGGAGACATGAATCAGTATTTCCCTATCTCTACCATGTTGTTAAAAATAATTTCCTGTCACCCTATTCACTTTTATAAACAGCATCAGCAACAATGAATGTTGTAAGGTGAGTCAACATAATACTGATTTCTAACACTCAGAAATTCCCAAACTCAATAAAAAATGGTTTTTCAGGTCAAAAGCTAAATTTTCAAATTGGCATTAGAAGGTCATGATTTGTGAACTTCTCACCGAATTTAGACTTTAATAAGTTGCTAAAGCAATTTTAACAAAAGAATTTTAAAATCAGTCACATACACACACACACACCTGCTTTCTAAATTTCTTAGCCAAAAAAATTAAAAACCTGTTTCTTTCTTCATCAGACTCTCAAAATTATCGTCACTGAAATTCATTCAGATTCCAAGGACAAGAATGGAAAAGAAGAAAAAAAAAAAAAAAGACTCCAGCAGCTCAAATATTTTAGATCTTCTTTGCAATATATTTAAATTTTCAATTTTGCACAAAATTACATAAGAACTAAAAACTGGGGCATGCTGGAGGTGGCAGTGACTTGGCAGTGACACAAATGCAAAAATTTCACTCCACCCTCTCCCCCAGGGAGCAAGCAAATCACCTATGTGACACACCTGGTCTCCACCAGCCTTGTGGGTAAGTACCCCAAGATTGCTTCCAAACTTGTATCTCCCAGACAGAAGAGCTAAAAACTGATGATAACCCCATGTACCAGCTGACTCATTTTTGAAAGTGCGACCCTCCAGCATCAGATGTCATACTGTAAGGAGGCAGAGCTGGCTTGCAAAACAAAAAATAAACCTGCTGGCACTGAGGGAAGAGAGGCAAATTAGAAGTTTTCAAACATGTAGGCAGCAAAACTTTCAAAATTAACAGGGAAAGAGAAGAGAGGGAAAAAAAATGAGGACATGATGATAGGAAAATAAAAATATTACTGCAAAAAAGAAAGACACAAGAAGGAAAACAAATCTAAGTCTTAGAAGTACAACATATAACTGTTACAAAGTTTTCAGATCCTGAAACAGGATAAAGTTTAAATATATTATCAAATGATAACTACATCTATTTTCCCAATTTCTGTTCTGTAAGCAAGAAAATATGTGAATTTTGGCCTGAAAATGTCACCAAACTGTAACATACTAATTATTACTTTTTACATATATTAAAGTAGACTATTAAAAACCATTGATAAGACCAATAATTTAAACCAATCCAGTATACAAGAAGGACAAGGATTCAAAGATTATTACCTTAAAACAAATCTGTCCTGGGACTATTAAACATAGCAAAATTGTTCTGTTCAAATTGGAAATTGTTTTTTAATAAAGAGAAAAATGAATATATACAGACCTAGCAGACATTTTTCTTGCAGTATTAATAATTTATGTCTGAATAAATTTTTACTCATACAAATATCAGTATATTTCTAGAATACTCTAAATAAGTTACCACAAAAGTCCCGAGATTAGAATTCAAACTCTCAAAACTATGAAATATGCCAGGCGTGGTGGTTCACACATGTGTAATCCCAGCACTTTGGGAGGCCGAGGCGTAAGCACCACTTGAGCTCAGGAGTTCGAGGACAGCCTGGCCATCATGATGAAACCCCGTCTCTTAGCCGGGTGTGGTGCTGTGTGCCTTTAGTCTCAGCTACTTGGGAGGCTGAGGTGGGAGGGTCACTTGAGCCCAGGAGGTCAAAGCTGCAGTGAGCCGTGATTGTGTGACTGCACTCCAGCCTGGGCGACAGAGTGAGACCTTGTCTCAGAAACAAACAAACATAAACTATGAAATAGATACCACCTAGCAATACTTCCCAAACTTGATTTTGGCTCCTAAAGAGTCTACTTATTCTTTCACTGCCAAGTTGCTGGAAGTAAAAATCCTCTATGTGTTTTTAAATGCAGAACATATAACCAAATTCAAAACATATAACCAAAGGGACATTTTTGTATTAAACTATTGACTTAGGTTATCGTAAAGTATGTCAGAATAACAAGTCAGAAAAGGAATTTTAAAACTAAAACAATAACCAAGTAACATTAGATAATAAAAAAATAAATCTTAGAAGAGTCTCAATTTTAGGTCTTGATTTGGATCGCAGAAAATATGATCATAAAACGCCCACTAATCTGAATACTGCAGCATGAGCTAGCAAATTCAAATGGTGGCTCACTTCCAATAACACTGGTGCAGCTTCTCCATTCTGCAAGCCACTCCTTTTACCTCCACTGTAACTCTCTAGGAGAGAAAAGTATACTAGTTTTATTAATGTTATAAAAACTTCTAGAGAAATGTTTAGTTAAAACGTTCACCACATAAAAGGCATACTATTTAAAATACATATTAAGAAATTTTTCATGTTTTCTATGTTTCTAATAAAGTTTGTTTAAAACTTTGAGGTTTTTTGAGAAATACTTTCCTGTTTATCCATACAGATAGGCCTTTGATAGTGGCTACTGATATTTTTAATAACAACAATTAAAAAAAAAGCACTGAAATATTTTAAGGAGATTAAATGAAGTAGGTCAACTCTCAGGCCCACAATTCTTAGCAGTATTCCTGCCAACTATACATTGTCTTCATTTTTACAGTATGTATTTCAATTTACAATGACAGCCTTTTAAAGGCTGTAAAATAATTCAAAATTACCTTTTACAAGCTGTGGCCATTCGGTGACATCAGGGTGATCACAGCTTTGAGTCACTGATTAAAAACAGGTTGTCACACCAGTCTAGCTGCTACCTTGATCTGAGCGTAGGCTTAATAACTCTAATAAATTAAACAAACCTTTGGTTAGAACACTTTAATATATAAATCCAATTCATTGTTCAAAAAATAATCTTCAAAGCTTCAAATTAGGTGTCAATGCAAAATTCAACAGAAGAGTAATTATTATTGAAAAGTTTTTAAGGATTACTTGCCAGCATTTTGTTTTTCTTAAATGATCTCCTCATTTGAGAAACCTTGTACCTTTATGTAATGTTATATTTTATGAAGCATTTTGGTCAATAGTACCATGAGTCTTACAACAACTTTGGCTTTACCTAATCAAGACAGATAATAGAGTAAAAAAACAAACCAACAAAAACTTAAGCAGCCTCTGAGCGATTAACTGACTTGCCCAAGATTTTGGAACTCGTGTTGAAGAAATGACAAAAACCCAAATATACTGACTTCCTATCAAGGGATCAATTTTTGTTTTGTTTTGTTGTGGCTTAGTTTTGCTATACTGGCTTTCAAGATTTAAGTATATATAAATGAGTAAACATTTAAAACATAGATTAAGATCTTTCAAATATGGCCAACAGTTTAAATGGGGACTAATTTAGTGAAAAGATTCTTAAAAGTTGATAGAGAAATCAGTCGCCAAGTAGGCAAATGCTTAAAACGGAATAGTTATATACATACACATAAACACACACACATACATAAATACACCAAAGTCTAGTCCTACTAATTCTGTTATTCACGTAGAGTCATTTAACATCAGCCAAAACCCCTTAAGTGCTGCATGAAAATATGTTCTACTCTTTCTTGGCCATAAATTTACTAAGACTTAATTTCATGAGAGTATGGCAAAAGATGAAAGCATATCCTCCTCCTTCAACCAAGTATCTTTTTAACCCCTTACATGGCCTTAGCTGATTTTTAACCCCTTACATGGTCTTAGCTGAACTTTTCTGACTGTCACAGTTAAAATGTAGCAGACCTCTTTACTCACACCGTAGTTCTGGCAAAGATACCATACCTCTGAAATATCCCAGTATCAAACGATCATTTTGTGTAACTAGTTCTTTCCTCATGATTCCCCTATCCAGGCCAAATCTGAGGCGTACTATGAAAAGATGAGGAAATTAGGAGGAAAAAAAAGACTTCATAGTTAACATCCTCAAAGCAGCACAGGCAAGCATAGGGTGGTTACCAGTGTGGATTCAGAACCTGATATAAAACAGCAAGGTATCTGCGAACACCAATGGATAAAACATGAATGTTTGAGCCCATACCTATGCAGTTATGAACGTAGGGCTTCAAAATACAGATTAGGTAAGGATTGGCCTGAATATATAAAAATAATAACAGGGGTTTCCAATAAATGGGATTTATAGTATCTGTAAGAAATAATGCAGTCTCCCAGATATTCCTATCATAACTATACATCTCCTAATAAGAACCTAGACATGGCTAAGATTATATGGGAACCACCACCACCCCTAAAATGAACAATGATTTCATGATACAGCTTCCCCTTGGGTTCTCATGAGACTAATGGTATGTGGAATTAGAAGACTGAAACAAGTCTAACTTCCCATCTTGTATACACAAAAAATAATGAAGTTAAAATACCTTTTAATTGACTAACTGATCTCAATGTAATTAAAGAGCTGTATGTATTTGGGAAACTACTGAGTCAAGTCCTTTCTTCCAGTCCCCTCTGTTATGAGGTCTGATGCTCAAAAGGCTCCAAAGTCAGGCTGGATTTCTGTTTCTGGTCATTTATGAGCTGAGAAATCTTGGGCAAGTTATTTAACCTCTCCGTGTCTCAGTTTCCTTATAGGTAGATAGGTAGAACTAGGAGAATAGCACCTATTACAGAGCTGTCAGGGATGAACAAGCTAACATCTAAAATATCTCACAACAGTGCCTGACATATAATATGCTCACAAATGGCCAGGCATGGTGGCTCACACTTGTAATCTCAGCACTTTGGGAGGCAAAGGTGGGTGGATCACTTGAAGCCAGAAGTTTGAGACCAGCCTGGCCAACATGGTGAAACCACATCCCTACTAAAAATATAAAAAATTAGTCAGGTGTGGTGGCACATGCCTGTAATCCCAGCTACCCAGGAGGCTAAGGCATGAGAACTGTTTGAACCCGGAAGATGGAAGTTGCAGTGAGCCAAGAAGGTGCCACTGCACTCCTGCCTGGGCAACAGAGCAAGACTCTGTCACCAAAAAAAAAAAAAAAAAAAAAAAAAAAAAAAAAAAAAAAAAAAAAAAAAAAAAAAGTCACCAAAAAAAAAAAAAAAAAATTATTAATATTCCTAGCCCAACACCCAAACCTGCCCTCTCAATCTTTTTATGCACATTATTTTACATCTCACAGCACACTAATCTCTTAATAAATTTTTTCAGCACCCTTTGTGAGTCCCATATACAGTCTTGGAAGAGTAGTTGGTGAGCACCTGACACAATGCTTTAAAAATGGCAGGTGCCCAAATTTGCTGAACACATCTGTCATTATTGTGACATTAAGATATACATGCAATATGAATTCCAAAAAGTAAAACGAAAACATACCATATTTCGCCAAACTTCTGTGGAGCTGGTGAATTCTAAAATCAGGCTCTTACAGATTTTTAACCTAAAATATAAAACACCTCACTCAATTCTTTTTACATAAACAACTGGATAAACTTTCAAAAAAAAAAAAAAGTACTAAAGTTCATCATAAAAGCAAATTTATTTTCTGTAATAATAATGAACATCAAAAAACTTATCAAGAAACAATTACCCTATTGCTGTTGCCAGGATGAGGGAAGCATAGTTAGGCAGGCCCTACGGCCTGAGTGCTTTCAGCAAGCAAAGCTGTATTTCCCATATTCATCCACAAAGCTTAGTGCCTTTTATTTCTTTATCCTGCCTCCAACAGGGCTAAACATATTTGAAAACTATTTGACTATACCCCCCTAACCCCTTCAAATACCTATATCAATTTTGTTTTCAATTAAATTCTATATGCTAAGCATCAGCTGTGTTAGATACAAATCTGGGCATCTATCCACTATTTTCTAGAGTAGCAGTCTTGGGCAGACCCTTTGACCCTGAGTCTCCAGCGTCAGGTTGTTATAGTAGAGAAAATGCATTAAAAAGTTACAGCATAATGCCTACCTGGCACAAAACAGAACTTCAGTATCACTATGATAATTATAATTTATTAAATCAACCACTTAACATATATCAAAACTTAACTCTTAAAAAAACAAATCCTGAAGCTTAAAGCAAGCTCCTGAATTATCACTCTAAATTCTTAACTTGTTTATATACAATCAGAACATTCCTCAATGGAACAGAAATAAAGTCCTTTAATGTACTGCATTATATATTAAAAAACCAAATCTCAAAGATAAGAAGCCTATCCAGTGTCCTAGAGATGGATGGTAGACAATGAATACACTGCATATAAACATTTTTAAATGAAATCAACCAACTTTTAAGGTTTTAGAGACGGAGTTTCAAACTTCAGCCTGCAATAGAATTACCTGGGGAAATCTAAAAACTAGTTGGGCTCTACCCGCAAAGATTCTCATTCAGTGCATGAGGTGGGGGTTTATGATTTAAAAAAAATTTTTTTTCAGACCCACCCAAGAATGCAGAAATGAATTTGCATTTTAACATACACTTCACATGACATACAGATTCCATTCTAAGAAGCCCTGCCTTCCAAATTATGAATTAGGAACACATATTCATAGAGGAAACATACCAAATCTATAAAATACAGGATAAATAACAAAAGCTGTAAGCACTACAAATATTATGCACACTCACTTGTCAATTTAACCTTAAGAATCCTAATACCAGACACAGTTCTCTTATCTTTTCAACAGAGGGCTCCATCTAATAATCATCTTCAACAGAGGGCTCAGTCTAATAATCTTATAAATAAGTATAATCTAGTAAGAAATGCCTAAGTCAGTCTATGTCTCTCTGCCTAAAATTTTCACTTTATTCATTTCTATTTTATTCTTAAGACAGGTCATGTCACCAACTAATCATCTCTCCTTGACACACACATGTATTACATACATTATTATGAATATGACTGGCATAGCCATCTCTCCTTCACCTCCTTCTAAACCTATTTCAAAACTTGATTTCATAAACTGTTTTTTTCTATCACTTTTTATTATAACATCCAACACGTCTGTTCTTTGCACCGTGTTTATGGTGTCTTATATTTATGTTTAATGCTACTTATTAAAACTGTCTATGTTTTGTCCATTTACACATTTCACAACCAAAGAAGGACTACTCCAGCAATTTCCCAAAGTCTTCCTGCCTTTAAGCTCTCCTCATTCCAGTCCATTCTGCAGTTAAGACTTAAAAAGTTTTAAATACAGTACTGCTTTCAAATAATACTTGCAACATAATTTCCTCAACTCCATTAACTCCTCAGAGTATCATTTCTTTATCCTTTTTCTGCCAAAAAAAAAATGTGAAAACCACTAGCTCAGCTGCTATTTTCTACCTAGTGAAATTTTTCCTAGAAAAGTTTCCATCATTTCCGTATATTCCCAATGCTCTGGCCCCTTAATCCCACTTAATTTTTGTAGCTGTTAAGACTGCTAACGACTCCTCCTCTCCTCTGGCTTCCCTAATGTTGTATCCACTCATTTTCTTCCATCTCTCTAAAGGCAACAAGGTCTTCTGCTAGTTCATCTTCCTACCTCTCATATGTGGCCTATCTCCAAGTTTCTGTCAATAGCCACTTTTCTTAACCTAAACCCAATCTCTGTGCAATGCCATCCATTCCCATATCACCTCTATACTTACAAACTCCTTACTCTGTGTCTTTAAGCTCTTACTTCTGGCACGGTATGCCTGCAGCTACCAATTGCCAATGGTACACGTCCATTTGGATGTCTCATTAGCGTCTACATTAAGCATATCTAAAATCAAACTCAGTTATTTTCCAAAAAAACTCACTCTGCCTAATCTCACTGTCCTAGTGATGAACTGAAAAATGTGGTGCCATTCATTACTTTCTCTCCCGTGTAGGGTGATATTCCTTCAGCCTTCAATTTCTTCATAATCATTCATTTGAAAATTGTCTACTAGATTTTGAGTGCCTACTAGGCGGATGAAGATGCAGTGGTAGAAAAACTAGACATAATTTCTTGTCTTCATGTGGTGAGAGAAATGGGCACAAATAAAAACCACAATTAATTATGCAATTACAGTGCAGTCTCGATGGAGAAATACAGGGAGTGGTAAGTGTGTATTATAATAAAAAGTCCTGACTTAGTCTGAAGAAAAGGAAAGCCATTCTTTATGAGGGACAAGAAAGATTTTTAAGACACACTAAGAAAAATCCTGTGAGGTAATGGTAGCACTGTCAGTCCAGCTGGTCAAATTAGAAAATTTCTCAGTCATATTCTAAAGAGTCTCTCTTTCCCAGTATATCAAATTGTTTACCAATTGCTACCAATTCATCCTCAGAAATTCCCCTACATTTCTTCATTGCCACACTATTCCCTAGTCTTTTCTGATGGCTTTTAGTTACTTCCAGAATAAAACAAAATCTCCCAATCACGTCAGAGACTCCACACAATTTGGTCAAAACCTGCCAGTGCAGCCTCTTCTTCCAGACTAGACCAAACTTCAAAAGAATATGCGTATCATTTGTTTTTATACTTCCAGTGCTTGAAAATGTTTATAGAATAAGCATCTTACAAAGGAGAACATTTTTCTCTTGGGGGACTTGCTTTCAGTCCTTTAGTACATGCAAAATTAAAATTCAAACCCAAATTTGATTCTAAAAACCGTGCTCATTACCTTGTACCTCCCTTCTAATTTACATTCAAACCTTAAAAATTTCCTTAGAAATATCTCTTACTAGGCCGGGCGCGGTGGCTCAAGCCTGTAATTACATCCCAGCACTTTGGGAGGCCGAGCCGGGTGGATCACGAGGTCAAGAGATCGAGACCATCCTGGTCAACATGGTGAAACCCCGTCTCTACTAAAA